TAGTCTCAACTATTTACTGAATTTTTAATGCATCTAAACTTGTCTCTACCCTATTCCATGTGTGCAGTCTATTACTGAAAAGACCCTAAAATCCATATAACACTATTTCCTGAAATGCCGGGGAAACTTGTATTTTTCAAAGTATAACACATTCAAATATTTTCACTGGTTTTCCCATGATTTCTCTCGAACGTTCTCTCCTGCTGGAAGCGTATCTTAAGGTAAACAAATGACGTCATATATTATGAAATTTCATAAGTCCGACAATTATTTTAATATATTTTCTGTGTTTACGTTTTTTTTTTTTTGGATACAAATATTTAAGTAAATATCCTGTTTGTAATAAAATGTATTAACAACATTTACCAATCTGAAAGCCCGAGAAATACATTTTATTTAATACTGTTTATTATCAACAGTGCATTTACTTAAATATCTGTATCGATAAAAATAACATGTAAACAGTATATATATATATATATATATATATATATATATATATATATATGTATGTGTGTGTGTGTGTGTGTGTGTGTGTGTGTGTGATTAAATAAATTACAAACAATATGTCCGTAATTTATTTAACCATATATACATACATATATATTATATATATATTTATATATATATATGATTAAATAAATGACAAAAATTATATTTGCGTATTTTTAGCATAATCCGTTCATATTCACGGGTATTTTTCCGTGTATTACAATCAAATGATGACTGCAACAGAGAAAATCACTTTTATTTCCTAATTTCTTCTGCCTGATGAGTTGGTAAAACAACGAAACTTAAGTCGCGCTCTTAACGTAGGTATATATATATATATTTATTAATATATATTTCTTAGCTCTGTTTAACCATATTTGACACTGCTATTATGTTTACGCCTTATGGTAAATTTAGCAAATATTTATTTCGTCACCTGTGTATGCTCTCTGACGTGTGCATATACGGTTGCTAACATATAATTTGATTTACCCACCTCTATACCCCCTTCTCTCTCTCTCTCCACACATATATATATATATATATATATATATATATATATATATATATATATATATATATGCCCATGGGTGATAGCGAATGAAAAATGATACGAAAAGTATAATTTTGGGTTCAACAAACATTTTAAGACAGCCTTTCAATTTTGACATTCGGCATCTGGTTCTCGTTTATCAATTAACATTCTCGATATGCCGTCTGCTGATCAAGACGCTAAGCGCATACTGTTCTGTAAGACGAGGCTTTGCGTACAACAAACATTCGGCATCTTTTCATCTATTTTGAACGCTTTAGTTTGAATTATGATGTTATAAGCGCATTAATTACGACGCTAATGCTAAGAGCAATTAAACGACTATAGACGCACATTGAATTTCTTATTTTCAATCTCGAACCTGTGTAAATGTGCAGAACAAAGATTTTTCAAAACTCATTTCAATTCGAGTAAAGCAATAAAGTCACTAAGTTTTAAAAGGTTACTGACCGTTAGAGAATATGAGAAAAAAATTAAATATTATTAAGGAGAAAAAATAATAAAAGAACAGGGTTTATAGATAGATAGATAGATAGATAGATAGATAGATAGATAGATAGATAGATATGAACAGAACTGAGATAAATAGATAGATCCAGAGCTGATATATATATATATATATATATATATATATATATATAGATAGATAGATAGATATGAACAGAACTGAGATAAATAGATACACACACACACACATATATATATATATATATATAGATAGATAGATAGATAGATAGATATGAACAGAACTGAGATAGATAGATAGATAGATAGATAGATGAACAGAACTGAGATAGATAGATAGATCCAGAGCTGATATATATATATATATATATATATATATATATATATATATATATATATATATAGATAGATAGATAGATAGATAGATAGATATGAACAGAACTGAGATAGATAGATAGATAGATAGATAGATAGATAGATAGATAGATATGAACAGAACTGAGATAAATAGATACATAGATAAATAGATAAATAGATATGCAGGTCGAGAGCTAAATAGATATATATATACTTGAAGAGAAGATAGATAGATAGATAGATAGATAGATAGATAGATAGATTGAGTGAGTGGTTGAGTGAGTGAGTGAGTGAGCAATTCTGAAACCGAAAAAAATTATATCTCCTTGGTTCAGAAGAGGAACGGATATCCTTTCGTTTTGAAGACAGAAAATAAACAAATGTTTATCTGGCCTTTTAATTTTCAGTTATTTTCGGTAATATGATCCCATCTGTTTTGCAAATTATTTGAATAATCATCAGTCGTAAAATCTTTCGGGTTTCAACGCAGAGAAACTCAATATCAGTTTTAACCTCTTCGCAATTAATAAACTCTTTCAAAGTTTTGAAATGTTGGAGCAAGGCCAGATGAGTAAGGAGGATGTGGTGAAACTTCCATAATTTATACCATAAGCTTTTACCTGAGTTACACGGCCATTTTGTGGCAATGCATTCTCTGCAATTAAAACATTAAGAAGAGTAATCAGAAAGACAGTAGATCACGATTAGCATTGCATTTTCGAAGATCGAAGTTGGATGGAAGGCATGGAACCAAAACAAAACGTTCTACAAGCGAGAATTGCGAGAAAAGAAACTCTTAGCATAGAATTTACGGTAACACATAGAACTGTAAATTCATGAGACTTTGTTGCTAATCTAGTACTGCATTTAAATTCATAAAGTCTAGGTTCAAGAGCTCATCCGAGCAATTACCATGAATGTATTTATAGAAAAGGCACAGGCAAGCTACATTACGGCATGTGGGAAAAGGACTGAAACCGAGACGCCAGGACAGGACCAATCATATTGCTGATTCTCTTTTGAATTTTATCAAGAATTTCTAAAAATATAGCAGGAGAACTGGACCATATAAGGCTTTAATAATCAAAGTGTGGATGAATGGCAGACTTATAGTTATGCAAGATAGTTTCTGGAGAGAAAGATTTGTTTATCGCTACAACGAACCAATTTTCTTAGCAGATCTAGGGATGGATTAAATGTGAAGCAATCTCTAATTTTAGCAGGTGTTAACCATTGTCGTTATCTTTGGATATGATTATATACAACCAATTTTAAATCATTGTTGATGATTTTGCTAATGAAACGTATATTACCAGTTGTTCTATTTAAGGATGAGAAGTGGTCAGCCTCTTTTGATTAAGATGAGAAGCGGCCAAATGAGGAATATATTTACCACGTTTGGACAAGTTTCCAAGTTCATAAAAGGTTTTTTGTTTATAGAAGTGTGTCTTGTATTGGGCTTTTTTTTCTAATTCTCTTGCAGTTTGCTTAAGATTGTCTACAACTACTGTTTTGGATAGGCACATCTTTGATAGAATTTGGCCAAATAGATCGAGAGTAATCTTCTAAAAAGAAAATGCTGATTGAAATTAACCAAACCATCGTTTGGCATTTCGCACAATTAGAAGCTTTATCTCACCTACATTCATAGACAAAAGAATGAATTTAATTTTGTCTCAGCAATTACGGAACTTTTTTTAAATTCATGATGTATAAAATGTCTGATATTGAACTGATAGTCTATACAAAATTTATCGACTCTGATATGACGTAATCTGTAAAGAAGGAATGAAACCATAGAAAGTAAATATTAATAGCTACTTTAATGTAAGTATTGAATAAGATGCCAGAAAACTAAAAGTATAGAAGTGACAGACACATACACAACACAAACGTATACATAAAAATATGTTCAAAGTTTAAGGTTACCCTTGGTAATTGATATATCCCAGAAAGGAGTATATTTGTTCGAAGTAGCAAAGTAGTTGTTGATTACTGTAACCGGGTAAAACAATCTAGCAGGGGACCGTAATGGACTGGTCTTCGTCGTAGTGATAGGCAACAGACATAGTCAATAGGTGAAGACAATAGGCGTAGCCCATGTACCTCGACATCAGTCTGTATTTATGGCTGACACCAGCCAATCATATTACTGTGAGGGGGGAACCCAGGTGTATGCATATTTCATTATGTTGTGGATTCCGAGATGAAATTCGGTCTCTAATGAATGACAAACGCAACAATTAAAGATAAGAAATTAAATGTATTTACACAATAATACAATGGGTAATTCTGTTAGTAAATCCAGGAACGCCGTTACTAGCAATATATATATATATATATATATATATATATATATATATATATATATATATATATATATATATATATATATATATGTACAGTCTCGAAGTAGGACTTCCTTAGAGTCTACGTGCTTGTCACTGTGACTTCTACAAGCGGTTACCTCACACTATTACTCTACCTCCAACTCAATCACAATCTCCGCTCAATCTCTCTATATTCTGACTGACTCTGGTTATTGAACGGCAGCAGTCCAAGTAACACTCTGGTCGAGTCCACTTATATGAAAAAGAGGTGGACTCCATAACACATTACATCAGTAGTTTTATTTTTAAACCGGTCCAAAAAGTAGTCGTTTTGTACTTTAAATAAGAGAAACTTATTATAGATGGTCAATACATGATAAGACATGATTTTTAATAGAAATTTTATTATGACAGGCTTTTTATTAGAACTTTTAATATGTCAAAAAAATTTAATTCGATTTTGTTCTCGTCTAAATGTCCTCCTCAAGCCTTGATTATAGAGAAACCTATTTTTGGCATTCCTTGTAAAAATTGCTTAAAGTATAAGTTTGATTTTTGACTCCATTCTTTTTTTTTTCAACGACTCTAAGAGCTCTTTTAATTTTTTTTCTTCTGTCAAGTTCGCCCTATTCTAATTTCTGGCTGCGTTTTCAAACTTTTGAACTATAGTGTATATATACAGGTTACGGCAGAAATACATCTCGCATATACCTTACAGAAGTACATCCCACATTAAGTTAAGACAGGGTGCAGCAGACATATCTCTCACATCTAACTCCGAGAAATAGCTTTTACAAATTGTTATGGTATTAGCTACAAGTTGCGGCAGAAATACTTCGATATATTTTTTTTCTTTTGCTATACGTGATACACGCTTAGTTAATCATGTATCATTCGATAGATGACTGACGAGGCAGATTTTTCCCGCAGTAGGTTGCCATTTCTTTCTGCGGTAGACTAGTTGCCATCCAAGGCTATAGCACCTGGTCTGTCCTACTATATATCCATAGCTGGGGCGAGTAGAAGAGGATTCATACCTTTCCCAAGGTTATTAGCACGTAAGTGAATGTAACGGATTCGACTGGAATTCGAACCCCCTCCCATATAATGTTAAGCAATTAGAGACAGGGTACGACAGAAATACCTACAACTGGTAACAGAAATACCTACATGAACATACAAGTGCCAAATGCATAAGTTCACTAACAGCACAGGGATGACAGTTTGAAAGTGGGAGGTATATCAGTCCCACCCTCTGAGAGGTATATGTGAGAGGTATTTATTAGGGGTATATGTGAGCGGTATTTATTAGGGGTATATGTGAGAGGTATTTATTAGGGGTATATGTGAGAGGTATTTCTGAGACGCATATGTGAGAGGTACTTCTGTCGCACTCTCTACAATACATTATTTGTTTATTTATGTCAGCCTAGAGAGCTAGATAGTTATTTCATCCTATTGTTCGCTTCTCTGTTTATGTGCACTTATATACCTTTCTAAGCCTCTCTCTTTCTAAGTTATCTATCTATCTATCTATCTATCTATCTATCTATCTATAAGTGTAATTATGTTCCTATCTTATTTTGCTTATGTCTACCTCTCTCATTCTTTTCATATCTATCAATATATTCAGCTTATTCATTCATTCCTATTTCTTTATATCTATATCAATCTATCTCTTTCTGTTCATATCTATCTATCTATCTATCTATCTATCTATCTATCTATCTATCTATCTATCTATCTAGTCATCCACATACAAGCCTGTTGCCTTGTAGCACAACTCAACAGTGTGGCTAGACATCCGTTTGCTTCAAGCCGGGATAGAAACTCGATCGATTTGGCATCATTCAGAGACTCTACTTCTAAACTATCGGCGCCCGGCAGGGAATATTTTAACGTATTATATACGTGATGTATACAAACGCCAAATCGGAAGTCAAGAGCGCTCAATTCATAACTGAATAGCGAAGCGTTAATAGCAGCAGCAGCCACTGTCAATGGCGCTCAATCGGTGAACGAGTGCATAAATAGTTATCCATATACAAGCCTGTTTCGCTGTATCATAGGTCATCTATCTATCTATCTATCTATCTATCTATCTATCTATCTAAGTATCTATCTATCTATCTATCTATCTATCTAAACTAATTCAATATCTGTCTCTATCTATCTATCTATCTATCTATCTATCTATCTATCTATCTATCTATCGCTGTTCATATCCATCCATCCATCCATCCATATACAAGCCTGTTTCGCAGCTCATCTATCTATCTATCTATCTATCTATCTATCTATCTATCTATCTATCTATCTAACTAACCTAATTCAATATCTGTCTCAATCTTTTCATATCTATCTATCTATCTATCTATCTATCTATCTATCTATCTATCTATCTCTGTTCATATCTATCTATCCATTCATTCATCCATCCATCCATCCATCCATCCATCCATCCATATACAAGCCTGTTTCGCAGATCGATCTATCTATCTATCTATCTATCTATCTATCTATCTATCTATCTATCTCTTATTCTTTCCATATCTATCCATCTCTTATTTTCCCACATCTATCTATCTATCTGATTCTTTTCATAACTTATGCACCTATATCATTGAAGACTGAACTCTATGTGTATATACTGCACACCATTATTACTGAGAACGAAACAAAGAATGTTTCACCTCATTTCTAGAAGGTTTGTAAAAGATTTTCGAAATAAACATGTAAAAATTTAATGATTCATTGAAAGGAAAACACAAGTAAAATTTAATTTTGATTAAAAAACATTCAAGATGAAATCGATTATTTGCACTCAGACATCCACATTCTGTATCGATGATATTCTACATACATGCGGCCAATATACACATACACACACGCGCACACGCACACATATATATATATATATATATATATATATATATATATATATATATATATATATAGATAGATAGATAGATACATGAGCTGCGAAATAGGCTTATAGATAGATAGATAGATAGATAGATAGATAGATAGATAGATAGATAGATTGTCCCCTGTGTGTATGTGCTTGTGTATACGGGTGCCTGTATTTATAAGTTCACATATAATTACCAGGATGTTTATTGGCGCCGTTTTGACAATATGAAATTTTTATGACTCAATATCCATCAAGGAAAGCGATGAACGCTAAAAACGTCCCCGTTTGAATTATTTTTGCTTAGTTTCGGCGCCTGCGTTCAGGAGATAACGGCAATTCTTTTATTAGATAATATTTTCTCGAGAAAAAAAAAGTATTAAGTTGAACGTAACTATAAAGCACGTTTAAAATATTTAGCTGAAAGTGTAATTGCAGAAGTTTATTGGCGAGAGCCAAGTTCGGAAATCCCAAATTGCATTTTAAACTTTCCTGGAATAAAAGAAAAATAAAGGAAACGTTTTGCGTAGATACGCGTAAGGTAGCGTAAATTGTTGCGGAGATTTTAAAGCAAATATAGTAAGGACATACAATAACTTAAGTGATGTCGATTCTGTGTGTCTGAAACTAAAATTTAGAAGAACAAGACAAACCAGACAGTAAACAGGGAAACTGGAGTAGAAAACAAGTTTCAGGAACAACCTAATAATCAAAGGTAAATAATGTCTGCTACTTCATTTTTAGAAAATATAGGCATGTGGATAGCGAAGGAAATTCGAGAAGAAGGGACATAAACGACAATAAGAAAGAATGCATGGTCATCAGTAAAAGGATGAACCCGAAATGCAATTTGCCGGTCGGGGGCACTAAAATCAAACCGGGGGATGGTAAGTGCGACGATGAGATCAGAAGCCACTTATAATTAACACCAGAAAGAAAGTGTTTGAAATTTCTTAGGCGCATAATGAGGGAAGAGATCTTGGAGAATTTGATACGCACAGGACATATTAAAGCCTAGAAGGAAAGAGTAAAAACAGTGTATAACCTCCCTAATAAGCTTCTGTAAATGGATGGCAGCACAGGGTTTAGAGCTAACAAAAATTAAAAAAAAAGGATTAAGATTGATTGATTGATTCCTTTTTTACGTGTTACCAACCTTTTCCAGATAATTTAAAGCCAGAAAATATTTTTAGATTCTAATAACTTTTTTAAAGTATTAAATTTTTAGTGATACAAGTTTTACTAATTAACCCATAGATAAAGGGAGAAGAGGAGGTCATACCTTTCCCAAGGGTATTTGCGCGTAGATAAATATAACAAATTGGACCTAAACTGGAATACGGCTCTCCGATTAACAATTCTGTATCGTTTTCGGTCACATCGTTGTCTTACATGTGCACATCCTAAGCGCAATGGATAGACCAACTGACTGCATGTCGGGGAACAGCAATTGATACCCTGTGAGGCCCGAATCTACACCTAACATCTATGGGGTGATCTTACAAGTCGACCCACTTGTCTGATGCCCTGGTGTGACACTGAGTGCAAAGTTCATTTTGATATATCGTTGGATGGTCGAAGTACATATTTCGGACACCACAGATGAAATTCTCTTAAAATGAACGTTCCTTATTGAGATTTAATTTGATTGAAACCATTTGGGACTTTCTGATGTGAAATACATACTGCAAAAGGAAATATCCTGAGAACTTCCTCCAACAACCATATTAAAACATTTTTTGATATAAGTTAAACGACAAATAAAAAAAAATCATATGGCAAACATATATAATAGAATAATATTTCCTACTAATATATATTGGATAATATTTTCGACTAAGTCAGCTAAAATACTAGCATATGAAGAGCCAATACAAATAATAGACTAGAAACATGTCTGTAGAATTCTATAGAAACCTTTGTATTGGTTTTCCGTATAGGAAGTTTAATCAAAAGATGTATTTGCTGTGGAATGGTTGCTGCATTCCAAGTATATTAGTGGTTGTCTCAAAGTACAAGAAATCCGTTTAGGATAAAGAGAAAAACCATTAGACGACATGAAACGGAGCAAGATATATAATCGTCATAGAAAGCATAGTTAGTTGAACTGCTAGCTGTTTAGGGTGAAAGCGTGTAACATACGTCAGCTTATGTAAAAGCAAAAAAAAAAACGATCCAAAAACTTATTTGCTGAACATTTAAGACGAGATTTCAGATTTTACCTTAATCTGGCACAAGGCTAGAAGGGTGAGCACGTACTGTATGAGTCGTTCATATCACTACTCAAGCAACCGGCTCCTAAAGTGTATAGGGGTTCATATCAAAGCGCCCTTAAGATATTTACTATGTGGGATAATGTCACTAAATATAACTAGATAGATATTTTGAACAGAAAGAGATAGATTGATAGATAGATATGAAGAGATAGATAGATAGATAAATAGATAGATAGATTTGAACAGCCTGATCGATAGATAGATTTGAAGAGACTGGTCGATAGATAGTTAGATATGAACAAACTGACAGATAGATAGATAGATAGATAGATAGATAGATAGATAGATAGATTTGAGCAGCCTGATGGATAGATAGATTTGAAGAGACTGATAGATAGATAGATAGATAGATAGATAGATAGATAGATAGATATGAACAAACTGACAGATAGATAGATAGATAGATAGATAGATAGATAGATAGATAGATAAATTTGAAGAGACAGATAGATAGATCTGAAGAGACGGATCGATAGATAGATAGATAGATAGATAGATAGATAGATAGATAGATAGATAGATAGATAGATTGACAAATACATGAGAAACTAATGGAATGTATAAATATGAACTGAATGAGATTAAAGATAAATTAAAGATAATAATATCTATCTCTTCTTCACTCTCTCTCTTCTTCACTCACTCTTTTTCTCTCTCTCTCTCTCTCTCTATATATATATATATATATATATATATATATATATATATATATATATATATATACAACGGCGTGGCAGGCGGTATTAGCATATCATGTTCAAATTCCATCCGAGATTTCTGTGTATGTTTTCGCACAAGTCCCCATGTAAAATTATAAACCCATCTCTTCCCCGTTCACAGTTGATCCCTTGGGAATACCAGGTACTGTAAACTTGGATGTATAGGTGGTGTAATGGATAAGGACTAGGAATTGTTATTTGAAGAACCGAATTTTAATACGGTTCCTTATATTTATATACACGCAAATACTCTTATGAAAACGTATGGATCCACCTCTTCTTTCCCCAGCTATGGGTTAATTAGGAAGATTTGTATCATTAAATGAGTATTGTCTCAAAAAGAAAAAAAATCGTGCAATCTAAATATATAGAAGATTGAGGATGAGGTGTAAATGGAGGCCCAGAAGAAAAGGACTGGTTTTGATGAGTCTGTTATGTGCCATGCGTGATATAGGTTTAGGCGATCATGTATCTTTCGATGTATGACTGACAAGGCAGATTTTTTTCCGCAGTAGGTTACCATTTCTTTCTGCGATAGAGTAGTTGTCATCTAAAGCTATAGGACACGGTCTGTCCTGCTATTTACCCATAGCTGGTGTGGAGAAGAAGAGGATTCATACCTTTCCCAAGGGTATTAACACGTAAGTGAATGTAATGGATTCGACTGGAATTCGAATTTGTATCACTAAATGATTATTATCTCAAAAAAAAATAAATAAAAATAATTCGTGCAATCTAAATATATATTTTTGGCTTTAAATAACCAACATCAGATAAGATTTAGAAAACGAACCAATTCAATCTTTCCCCCTAAATTGGAGATAATAGCAGTCTATTTGAACTGCAAGGCTTTTGTGTTAAGTATAAATCTACAGTAAGTATTTTTTAAAGGAATTAATCATTTAGAAGATGATCTTTGATCAGACACTACAGATAGGTCTGAAGAAACACAAAGTGCTTTACCAGGTAGCAAACAGAGACGAACCTGGGGAAAAATACTGTCACGTGCCCGGTCTCTGGGAAAAGCCGCCTGTGGTTGTACAGCCCTCATTACACTAGAGGGCGGGGTAGGTAGTTATACCGATGCCAGCCCATCGGCGGTCGCGGGTGCTGGTCATTTTTTCTCCCTGGTCCGAGTGTATGTGGCCGAGTTCCCCCACATTAAACCCGACCTTGTGTCACATCTCGTCTCAGTGAGGAACCTGGGGCAAAAGCCTTATTACATGATCATTTCCGAAAAGAGAAACAACAAAAAAGGCTGGTAGATGTAACTAGAAGAGAAAATAGTTATATTATCAAGCTGTCAAAATTCTACACTGCCATTAACAAAGGCAATTCCAATCGATACTAGAAAAATCGATAACAGTGAACTTGAGGAATCTGATTACCCGAAAAACTCTCGAAGAAAAGTGTTTTTTTTTATAAATTTCAAACGACAGTAACACTAACTGTAGGGTCAATGAATGCTAAGGTTTTCTGTATGGAAACGTTTATTTCACAATTTTTATAATAATTTAATTCAAATAAATATTAGGTTGGCCAGAACGTCCCGACTCAACTTAGGAAGCGGAAAGAAAACAACAAAATTTTATCGAGTAACACAACATTTATTTTTCAAATCGAAGTCCATCTTTTTCGATGATCTTCTCTTAGTGATCAGCCAGCATAAACAACCTTCCTTCACTTCATCAGAAGTGTTGAATTGCTGGTCGCGGTGAAAGTGTGCCACTGAGCGGAATAGGGCATTGTCACTTGGAGCAGCATCGGGACTGAATGGTAGATGTAGAATGCGGAAGAAACCGTTCATCTGTTTGAACCTCTTAGTCAACCTGGCAGTGTGTGGCCTTGCATTGTCTTGCTGAAACAAAGCCAGATCTCGATTGACCAAAGCAGGTTACTCCTTCTTTCGTTTGTCTTACAAGCGGTCTAGCTGCTGGCGATGCAGTTTAGCGTTGATAATGCGACCGTCTTGAATAAACTCGAAATTCAGTACTCCTTCGAAGTTCCACCAGACTGAAATAAAGATGATGTAATGGAGTAACCTGGCACCCCCATGAGTGATTAAACTATAAGTAGTAAGTATCTATAAAATCGACTGTATACGAGAGACTGGAAGGAAGAGAGAGTCAGTGAGAAGACGCAAGCACATCCGACTTTCCAAATAGTGGCACTCACTACTAGATTGTTATAGTGGAACACACCTATTCTATAGTTAATAGACTCTCCCACCTATAATAAGTAGGAGTAATAGGAGTGGTTCAGTCAGTCGATGCCGGACGACCGTTAGTCGGATACTAAAGTATCAGCGACCACGACAAGATTTCTCTGCGTCATTACCTATTTTATCAAGTTCCTAAAGTTTAGTACGTCGAACCTATTTTAGGACCGACTTAGTACAAATACTAGATTTCACTGTGAAACTACTCCATAACACACTTTGCGACGAGGTATTCGGATTCATACGGCTGAAGAAAAAAATTCACACTCCATAACAAATTTGGCCACAAGGATTCGGATTCATACAGTAGAAAAAACAATTGCGTTCACCACAGTATTATTTGGCGAAGAGGATTCAAACTCATACGGAGATAAAAAAAAATCACTCGCTATAACAAGTTTATCAAAGGGATTCGGATTCATACGGTGGAAGAAAAAAAAATCGCTCGCCACACTATTTGGTGACGAATTTCGTACTCATACGGAAAAAAACAAAAATTTGCTCGTCATAATTTCGGCGACAAAATCTCGGATTCACACTTAAAAGAAAAAAAAAACTTGGCAAAGTTTTCGAAAGGGAAGATGTCAACTTAGTGACGAAAAAAATCTGACGTATTCTCAACTGAGAAAATAATTTTTTTTCTCCATAAGACAGTTTGCTCAAATAGGTCACGAATTGCAAATTCGTAGGACCCCCACCCTCTACAATATTTAAGCATTGTGTAAACTTTTTGCGGAGATGGAGGAATGCAGAAATATATTCCAGGAACAACAGATGACAATATTAGAGCAAGAGAAATCATTCCAGATGCAACTACAGGAGGAAACTTTTAATAGAGAGATGCAGTTTCAACCAAAAATGGAACAGATGCATAAGGAGTTTCAAAACAAAATTCTGGAAATAACTGAGAAGAGGAAAGAGAAAAATCTACAAAATGATTCTTTCCCAGAGAATACAATATGGAATTCAATTGAAATATTCACGTACAGTCCAGATGAAGAGATAACTTTTGAGGAGTATTACAAAAAATATACGGACGTGTATGACGAGGGCTGCCACACGTGGTCTGAAGGAAAGAAGGTTAGACTTCTTTTAAGCAAGTTAGGAACTGCTGACCATAACAAATTGGTAAACTACATTTTACCGAAAAAAAATAGCGAGTTGACTTTTACCGAAGCGGTAAAAATATTAAATGAATTATTTAGTAAAAAGACATCTTTGTTTCACAAGAGATGGAAATTTTTGAATCTGAGGAAAGATGACGAACAAGACTATATAACGTACGCAGCCAATGTGAATAAGCATTGTGAAGAATTCTAGCTGGCAGAGTTAAGCGCTGACAATTTTAAGTGCTTAGTGTTTGTTCAAGGGTTGGTATCGGAAAGAGACGCAGAGTTAAGAAAATTAGTGCTGGCAAAATTAGAAAACGAACCAAGAATTACAATACAAAGTTGGCAGAAGACTGCACAAGATATGTTAGCGTAAAGAAAGATTCGAAAAAGATAGAACAGTCTGGCGTTTCGCATGTAAGGAAAATATGCTACAAAAAAGAAAGTCAGTCTACCAAAAAGAATTCTAAAATTGCGGATTATCAAACAAAAAGTGAAATACCAGAGAAAAATAAACAAAAACTCACGAAGCCATGTTTTGCTTGCGGTGAACTTCACTGGTACAGATATTGCAATTTTAGGAATAAAAAATGTTTCAACTGTGAAAGAGCGGGTCATAAAAGCTCGCATTGCAGGTCAAAAAATAAAGACAATAAAATAAGAAAATTAAAGTCCGACGAGGTGAAAGATGGAATAACCAGAAAATTTGTTACCGTCGAAATAAGTATTAAAAAATAAAAATACAACTCGACACTGGTTCTGACCTATCTATCATAAATTTGCATACGTGGAAGAAGTTGGGGAAACCGACTTTAATGAAAACAAATAAAATCGCGAGGTCAGTGACAGGAGAAAAATACAATTTATTGGAGAATTTGTTACAAAAGGTCATGTTAAATAAAAAAAAACGCGAAAAGCTAAACTATTTGTCATAGAAAATACCACGAACTTACTTGGTACGAATAGGATAACAGAATTTCAATTATGGGATCTACCGATAAATTCTTTCTGTTACAAGGTTGAAAGTTTAAACTCAGAAGCCCAAAAATTATTAAGGAAACTTAAGGGAACATTTCCTACTGTTTCATCTCCAGGTTTGGGAACGTGTACCAAGATGGAAGCAAAATTCCAGCTAAAAGAAAACGCTCACGCGATATTCAAAAAGAAAAAGAATGTGCTGTTTGCTTCAATTGAACAGATAGATAAAGAATTGGACAGATTAGAGAAAACCGGTGTATTTAAAAAAGTTGATGGGTAACACCGACGATATACGCGAAAGGAAAGTAAAGATGAAGCCGACACCGAGAAAAAACTAGGGAGCGAGTTACTCGCAGCCAAGGACATGCAGTATTATTAAATGATTTAAGTCAACTGAAGTCACCACAGAAAACGTTAAGAAGCACAAGATCAACAGAAGTAAAGCTAGAGGCTGAACAAATATAACCACATGAAGATTCTACAGAAGCTGAAAGCGGAAGGTTGTTTCTGGTAACACGATCGAGGTACCAAAAAATAGAAAAGCGTATTGGCTATATGATGTACTTGGTGAAAGGCGAAAAATTCACGTGCAGTAACCAGATCAGACGACGTTTTTCAGACGTGGTTGACAGCGGTCCCGCGGAAAAAAAACGCCGATGGAGGTGATTTTCAATACGTTTGATATAACATCGCCTGCAACAATTTTACCTGAGGTACGCCGATCCAGAAGAAAAAAGAAAGGCAACTGATCATTTAAAAGTGGATAAAAAAATGTAGGAAATACGCTACGATGTTGCTAAAAAAAAAATTGTTTTTTTTTCTTCATATTTCCTGTAAAAAAAATGAAAAATAAATAAAGAAAACTGTTTACTCCTACGGAGTAAAGTTTTAGGTGGAGTGTTATAGTGGAACACACCTATTCTATAGTTAATAGACTCTCCCACCTATAAGTAGTAGTAGGAGTTGTTCAGTCAGTCGATGCCAGACGACCGTTAGTTGGATACTAAATTATCAGCGACCACGACTATATTTCTCTGCGTCATTACCTATTTTATCAAGTTCCTAACGTTTTGTACATCGAGCCTATTTTAGGACCGACTTAGTACAAATACAAGATTCCACTGTGAAACTACTCCATAACATAGATTGAGCTGTGTGTATAACTGTACCGATTTCATATTGTACTTATTGTGTACATTAAATATTTCTTCTAGTATCCACTTGGTGTTAAGTATTTATTCCCTGAGCACGGAATATAACAGTTTCGACGTGGATTGTCGGAACATGACACAAGATTTGTTGTTTTCTTTCCTCTGGGTCAGGAATTTCCCCGCCAATCTAGTATGTTGAGTAGATAGGATAAATGAAAAAGTAGTTTCGAATTTGAAAAACGCCAAGTAGTTGGGGACCGACCTTTGAAAGAGACATCGGAAGCTTAAATGCGAAATTGCGGCTTGTGGTGCACATTATGTACGGCAGTAAATATCGGTTAATCAACTGCATCAACAAGTCAGTTCATCTTGTTCATTTGTAGGTTTAAGCCAAGAAGTCAGCGACACGCATAAGCATGCGCAAACATCGAGCCAATAATTTTCACCCGGTCCAACATCAATCAATATCACAGAAGTGACTCCTTTCAAAACTAGTTTGTATTACGTCTCAGCAGTAGACGGCCTACCGAAGCCGGTTCAACTGTACAGGCGCAAACAAAAGAGAAAGAAATTGGTAAATCAATCAAGCTGACATTCATGAAAATAGACAGGCTTTTTGAGAATGTTTTAATATTTTCGTTTTCAAGAGTCAGAAATGTGAATTGTTTTCGCGTGTTAGTGTCGATTATTAAATTTCTTCTCGCTATAAGAATCGACGCTATAAGATTGATTAAGCAAATCCGAAGAAAACATCAGGGAAAGTAGTTAACACAAGGTCGGCTGAAAATTCTTTCTTTGGTAGTGTATTTTTTTTCAGATTCAGTTTTCATTCAATTGCAATAAACACTGAAATATTTCCGTGAAGCTTGACGTTTATAAATCACATTCAATTTGCTCTTGTAAATGTTAACGCTCTCACATTAAAAAAAAAAATCTTATTACCTTCTTTTCACCTTTCGTCATGCATGCTTCCCTTTCATTGGTATTCGGTTTCTCAGTCTTTCTTGCTTCTTCACTTTTCTGTACGCTATTGCTTTCTTCATTCTTGTTCCACTCTGAGCCAAACAGAGAAGGATATTCAATGTTATAGGTCATAATCTGGCATCTCGTTTACAGTCACTTTCTCACAGACGTGCTGTGGATTCCCTCTTTTCTACAAATATTTTCATGGCAACTTCTCTGAAAAACTTTTTACCCTGGGGGCCCCGACTACATGAATTTAAGCATGCTACTAGATTGGCAGCTAGGTCCCACCCTTTCACAGTCGATACAGTTAAATGTAATCGCCTCTTCTATTCCAACAGCTTCTTCTCTCGCACTTTCCGACAGTGGAACTCCCTTCCTATTACTTTCTTCCATGATAGCTACAATCATCAGATATTCAAATGTAATGCCCTGATGCCTTGATCCTGATCCCCGTCCTTCTCTCTATCCTTTCCTCGAAAACCCCTCTTTATTCATGCTCTCACTCTCTGAAACCCTTTGCGTGCTAGTGGTATTCCCGCCTTGCTTGGGTTGAAATGTTTTAAAAGAAAGCTTTATTCTTTTTTTTTAATAAGCCCTCACCACGACCTGTAACCTTCGTCTTCGAAATTATTTCGAAGAATTTTTAGTTGTCTCATTCTAAATGTAAGTCTCCTTTTTGTTTCATGCGTGAACGCAATCTTCAGTCCACGTGTGTTGTGTGGCATATATACATAGCCGAGCTACCACACAATACGCATGTCACTCAGTATTGACCTCAGCGTCCACTTTTATATTTGCACACGGCCTATCCCTGATATTGAGCCCTTTTACCCATAAATATAGCATACTATAAAACTATATTTTATCATTCTCTCTTTTCCTCTTTAAAGCTTTCTTCATTTTTTTTTTCTTTTTTTATTCTTGTTTCTTCTCATTCTTTTCTTCTTGGATTCTTCCTTGCCCCCCTTGTTCTCTCTCTCTCTCTCTTCTTCACAGAACCCTTTGTCTTTTTCGTTCATTTTTTTTTTTTTTACAATCGGAAGCCTTTTTCACTGCTTTCGTCAAATTTCTTTCCTGTAACATTTTTTTCTTTCTGCCATTGTGAATGCTTCTTCTTCGTCCTTTTTTCTTTATTTGTTCTTTCTTTCTCTCCTTTTATCTCTCTGGAATATTCTTTCTTCCTTAGATTCGCCTTCTACCTTCTTTCATCACTTTTCTCTAACTTGAAACGTTTTATTTTTTTTTTTTAATATTTCCTTTACATGAGCCTTCGTTATTTTATTTATTTTTTTTTAACTTTTTTAGCCTCCCTACGGCCATCTTCCTTTAGCTTCTTATTCTTTCTACTGCTTCAACATTCTTTTTCATTCTCCGAGATTAAACATTTTCTTCTATTCGATATTTTGGTTGCCTTTCTTTGTTATTTTCTTCTCTTGGGACTTCTCGAGATGTCTTTAATCCTTCCACATTCAGTCCTTCAGTTTCATTTCTTCGACTTTTTCTTTCTTCCTCGAGCTTCATTTTCTTCCCGTCCATAGCCCTCCCTGTCTTCTTTCTTTCTTCTCTATCAGGGATGCATTCTCCTTTTTCATTTCTTATCAAGCTTCATCAATTTTCCATCTCTCAACCAAAAACAGCTTTTCATTTTTTGCTTCATTCGCTTTCTCCTCCTCTCAAACCCTGTTCACTCTCTTTCGTTCTTTTTCTTCTATATGTCGTGTTCTTGCGGACATGGATCTCTAAAACCTCATATCCCTTGCAGCATGCCATTCGCAAAGGACCTACACCCCATCTTGAGCCATCCATTCATTAGAATTCGTTAGTAATATGTCCAGCTGCATTTGTCTGTCCCTTTTTCCTTCGTCAAGTTCTGTTAGTGTCATATTCTCTAAATCCTCCTATCTCATTATGTGCCAAAAGAATTTCAATACTGATTTTAGCACTAGTGCTTTTTTTTGTCTTCATTTTCTTTAAGACGTCTTCGTTGCTTACTCACTCCGTCCGTATTATTCTCAGCATCCTTCTGTAGAACACCATTTCTGTTGCCATCAGTTTTCTCTTTATCTGCGTAGAGAGTGTCCAGAGTTCACTGCTATACGAGAAGATTGATATTACATAACAGTTCAGCAATCATTTATTTGTTTCTAACTATTTTTTTTGTTTTTAACTATTTTGCTTAGATTTTGGAAATCATTATTTGGGTATATTTCTGAGATGAGGTATTATGTACACTATTCACATTATTCGGAATACTGTCCTCATTTTTTTCGCCATATTTATTACAACGTTTCGGCCGTTGTACCCTTCGGCCTTCTTCAGGTGGGTGGACTGTCGAAATGAACCCTTTATTTCGCTCACTGGGGTAGACTGCTGTATTTCCACGTGCCATGTTTAAAGGATGTGAGTTATCAGTTATCTTCTGTTAATTTCCCTCTCCAAGTTCTCCTCTGCATTAACCGGATATTGAACTCACACTCTTTTTGGGTTCTGTCACTGGTTCTAACCAACGCCTTTATCCACTGTGCCAGGGAATTAAAAAGACATAATATATATATATATATATATATATATATATATATATATATATATATATATATATATATATATATATATATATATATATATATATATATATATATATATATATATATATATATATATATATATATATATATATATATATATATATATTCTGTATATTTATATATATATATATATATATATATATATATATATATATATATATATATATATATATATATATATATTCTGTCTATATTTCTGAGATGAGGTATTATGTACATGCCAGTGGATAAAGGCGTTGGTTAGATCCAGTGACAGGACCCAAAAGAGTGTGTGTTCAATACCCGGTTAAGGCAGTGGAGTACTTTCAGAGGGAAATTAACGGGATATAACTGATATCTGACATCCATCGAACATGGCACGTGGAACTAGAACAATCTATCCCAGTGAGCGAAATAAAGGGTTCAGTTTAACATTACAACCACCTGAAGAAGGCCAGAACGTACAACGGCCGAAACATTGTAATAAATTTGGAAATCATCTTTTGCTATTCCCAATGCGGGATCTCATTTTGATGTTCCTTATTTTTCTATCCTGTTTTAAAACATTTCCCCTGATTCTTGAAATGTCTGTAGTTGTTTGTCAAATTCATATTTTTCTTAGTTTTTTCCTCACAAGTCCTTTTCATTTTTATCTTTTTTTTTTAAACTTTTTTTTCTTTTTAAATAATTCTTTTGAATTTTTTCGTCCCCCTTTTCGGATATTTTCAATTTCATTATACTTTCCCATCTGAAACCTTCTTCATTATCACTTTTTTCTCTTTTCTTCTACTTCCTCATTTTCATTCTTTCTCTCCTAATCTAATCTTTTTGATTATTAATTTTCTTTAACTGCGTAGCCTTTTCCAGTCTCATTTTTCTTACTCATTAAGCTTTGTCATTTTTATTCATAGTTGCCAATTCGGGCTTTCCTTATTTTCATTCATACTCTGGCTTTTTTCTATTTTCATTGATAGATCTCATCTCGGATTTTTTTTTCATTTTAATTCATAGATATCAACTCGGAATTTCCCCATTGTCATTCATAGATCTCTACTCTGGATTTTTTCATTTTCATTCATAGAACTTCATTTAGGCTTTTTTTATTTTCATTCATAGGTCTTCACACGTGCTTTTTTCATTTTCATCCATAGATACCCATTTAGAATTTTTCCTTATTTTCATTCAGAGATCTTCATTCGGACTTTTTTTTGTTTCACATTCATAGAGCTTCATTCAGGTTTTTTTCATTTTCATTCATAGTTGAAATGCACATATTTTTTCATTCATAGTTCTCTGATCGGCTTTTCTACATTTTAATTCATAGATCTTCACTCAGGCTTTTTTTTATTTTCATTCATAGATCTCTAATCGGGCTTTTACCATTTTCAATCATAGAACTTCACGCGTGTTTTTTTTTTTTTTTTTTTCATTTTCATTCATATATCTTCACACGTACTTTTTTCATTCATAGATACTCATTTAGGTTTTTTTCCTTATATTCATTCACAGATCTTCACTCGGGCCTTTTTTCATTTTCATTCATAGATCTTCATTCGGGCTTTTTTTTTTGTTTCATTCATAGAGCTTCATTCAGCCTTTTTTCATTCATAGTTCTCCGATCGGCTTTGCCAGATTTTCATTCATCGATCTCCACTCAGGCTTTTTTTTTATTTTCATTCATAGATATCCACGCGGGCCTTTTTCATTTTCTTTCATAGATCATCACTCGGGTTTCTTTCGTTTTCATTAATAGGTCTTCATTCAGGCTTTTTCATATTCATAGTTCAGATGCACAGGTTTTTTTTTATTTTCATTCATAGATCTCCACTCAGACGTCATTCATTTTTTTATTCATAGACTACCACTTGGGCTTTTATCATTTTCATTTTCATTCATAAATCCACATTTGTTTTTTTTTCCTTCATATTCATTCATTGATCTTCCAATCGGACTATCTTTAATTTTTCCTTCCCTTCATGAGATTTCTTCATTTCTATTCTTTCTAACCAATTCCAACCTACTTCATTTTCATTCTATCGTCAACTCTTTCAACATTCTTCATTTTCAACTTTTGTCTTCTTCCTTCTCAAATCGATTCCACGTTCATTCTTTCCATTATTGTGATGCTTCCAATCCGTTTTAATTTCCGTTATTCCTTCCTTAACCGATTCTCTTTTATTTTCACGTTTTCATGACGTTTTTCATTTTTCAGCTTTTCCTTTCAAAACCATCTCCATTTTCATTCATTTTTCTCCTTCTTCTTTTCTCAATATTTTCCTGTTTCCGCATCTTTACCTACTTTCATCCTCCTCCTCCTCCGTAAAAATGTCTCTTAAATAATTTCTTTGATATTAAAGACATTTAAATACAATATGAAATGGACAAAGTCCGACAATTATTTAAGCCATTTTTATGTTTATACGTTCTTTTTATAGATAGAAATATTTAAGTAAATGCTCTGTTTAAAATAAACAGTATTAAACAACATTTACAGGCCCGAATGTCGGAGGACGCATATTTTCTATGAAAATTTCTCACACACACATGTATATATATATATATATATATATATATATATATATATATATATATATATATGATAGAAATTATTAGGAGGATTTGATAATTATATTTTAAGTAATTCATCGAGTCTGAAAAAAACCTCAACAGAATGCAGAAAGCACTGGACGGCCGTTTCGTCCTATATTTGGGACTCGTCAGCAGTGCGCATCCACTACCGAGAATTGAAACCCAGACAGGTTGTCAGTTAGTTTGTCAGAGAACTCAATAAGAGTTCCAACACGGAATATGTGAGCGAGCGGCGCTATATTGAGTTTGATTTGCAATCTCTTCGTCACCGGTGATACAGTTGGTCTGATGTTTGCTTGATAACCTGTCTGACGGATTTGCACCAAAATGTACATGCACATGCTCCAAGTTAGCGAGAAGGCCAAGACTGACTTTGCATTTCCCAACTCCCATCGATAGTGGAAATAATCGATTTTTTCATGCTTCCACGGCAGTTTTCATGTAGTTTGCGGCCATTTTCTACTGGTCAGAGTGAGAGTCTATAGCTAGCTGCCAGGAATAGGCAGGAAGATTCTATTGGTCAGCATGGGAGCCAACAGCTGACTAAGAAGAATGCTAGCATGCAAAAGAAAAAAAATTTAAATCTGCATGGCACTTTACTCCAATTGGCTCATTCGCTTGCTTAAACTCAACGTTGATTCTGATTCCGCAGAACTGGGTTGGGTGTGAAAAACAATTTGTTGTTAACATTCTTTTTTCATTCGGTTCTTCCAGTTACGAGTCCTTTTTTTAAAGCTGGTCGTTTTGTGTTCATTTTGTATAGTTCTGTTTTCGTAACATATTTAATGTTTAGTATAGAGCTTAAAAACAATTCGCGTGAGATAGGCAAGAAGTAAGGCATGTAAGGCATGTAGCAACATCAGCACGGCAAAGGGCACCCCTTTAAAGGAAAGGAAGGGCAAACATATTTTAAGTCAAGTGATAGCGATTACAGTATGTCGTACGATTTTTGAATTAATCACGGGCAACGCCGGGCCATGCTGCTAGTTATTATTAATTAAAGAATATCAAACACTTAAAATTCCATAGGTAATTTTTTATGTGAGATCTAAAAAAAAGGTCTTGATGATTGATATCCACTTGCGTCTTGGTATTAGCAGGGGTACAGTTCTTGTAAGACCTTCTGGGAGAACATATGGACCTAATAGGCAGTCAACTCCAATTCCAGCCCACACAGTAATCGTAAACTAGTGCTGGTGTATTGTACTACGGGGATACCAATCCACCCATAAATATTGGGTGTGTAAATTTGTAATTCCATCCGTAGACAAGACCGTAGAGACAAACAATGGATCGACAGTTTGTGCAATAAAACATCAGCAAAAGTTCTTCCATGATGGTTGAACAGAAGGTGAAAGACCTTGAACACGTTGCAAATGATACAGATAAGCTCCTCTTGAACTACTCTCTCTGTGGTACATTGAGATGTACGACATGCTAGGGCCACTTGACGTGTGCTGGTAGCTGGATCGTCTCCGATAACCTGCAGAATGTGCTCTTCGTTGTCAGGCGTACGAGCAGATGTCGATCTTCCTCTTTCCATAGTTTATTATGCCACAGATACTGTCTCCCCAATGCCACGATAAAGAGCCTCAAAAGTTGGATGAATGTGTTTCCTTCGGTCTGGAAACACAGTCTTATAGAGCTGTGCAGCCTCGAGTCCATTACCACTTGCCCAGCTGTATGTAAAATTGTATCTGTCTGCAAAAGATATGTATATATTTCCATTTTAAAACGGATAACTTCTCAGTTGGCTTACTACTACATAAGTTAAACTTTGAAGACAAACTAACCTAGTTTATATGATAACACAGTGCCTTCTACCATAAACTTTCTTTAAACTTAATAAAGGAAAATCGACGATTTTGTGAAAATATGTTTATATAGTCATTTTTCCTTGTTTCTTTGTGAAGGAACCGCACCCAAAGTTTGTAAAATTTATATATATATATATATATATATATATATATATATATATATATATATATTATGAAATGGACAAAGACCGGCATTATTTTTTTTAGACATTTTATGTTTATACATTCTTTTTATAGATAAAATATTTACCGGAGAACGAATATTTTCTATGAAAATTTCTCTGACATTCAGACCGGTAAATGTTGTTTAATACTGCTTATTATAAAACAGAGCATTTGCTTAAATATTTTATCTATAAAAAGAAAGTATAATCATAAAATGTCTTATATATATATATATATATATATATATATATATATATATATATCATATTTAATTCGTCGAGTCTAGAAGAAACGTCAACAGAATGTAGAAAGCACTGCATGCCCATTTTGCCATATTTTTGGGACTCATCAGCAGTGCGCATCTACTACCGATAATCGAATATATATATAATATATATATATATATATATATATATATATATATATATATATATATATATATAATATATATATATATATATATATATATATATATATATATGTATGGATGATTCTCAGTGTTAATGTTGATAATCTAAACTTCGAAATTTACAGGATCATTTTTATCATTATTTTCTGACTCTCGCCGTTATTTACATTGAAATCATCAAAGTCTTGAAAATGGATTTTTGAAAGACCGCTTAAATTTTACACAGGTTATTCTTCATTTGGGTCTTTCTCCCTGAAAATGAATCGACGCAGAGGTAATGATCAGAAGAAAATTCAAAGTGAATATTTGAATGCAGAAGATTGGAATTTCTTGGGCGCGAATAACATATTTACTTTACGGCTTCAGTTTCTATCAGCGTAGAAGTCGAATTCGCCTACTTCAGTCAAAACGAGATTCTAAAATCATTAAATAAATCTGCTTACTTTGATAACTCTAGGCTACTAATATTCGTTTACTGCAAAGTTCGTTAGTTAAGGTAAGAGGTAAAGTTATAGTTAACCATAACCTTTCGATGAAAAATTAATCTGTTTCATCTGTATTTTTGACCTTTAGGCGCAAAAAGTTGTTGGGGATTGAAGAGATTGAGAAGACTTTAGTAAGAAGAAACACAATAAAAGGATGAATTCTGTTGTTGCATTAAAATTTTTAAAGATTTTATTAGGTTGGTGCAAAAATAATGACGTAATAATGTCGTTTTTAAACGTTAAAAATACGTCAAAAAACGACATTATTACGTCATTATTTTTGCACCAACCTAATAGTAACAGGTAAGCGCGACATATAGTTCCACAGGTGAGAAATGCTAGACAATAAACAATTAAAATAGAACTTAAGGTTATTTATTTCTATTTCAACAGTAAATCTACACGTACACTTAAATCCATGCAGCCGAGATACCTATGTGGAGAGATCATTAAAAGAACTATCATGAAAATATTTGAAGAAAAGACAGAGGGAAGCCATGTCAGCTGGTGGGAAAATGAAATTAGTTAAGGATGACAGGTCAGGACGTTGTCTAGAAAACCGAGATGTAGCAGATGCACCAGACAAGACATCACAGCTGTATTTAAATACACGGACGAATACTTTCTTTCCTTTTAACTATTCTTTCATATTTAATGCTTGTTCGAAGTTCATCTGCCCACTCGTAGATAGTTCGAAAATAGCAGTTGACATATGACTGACCCAGAGATAAAATATAGAAGTGTCCACACTTGGCGTTGATGTACTCCTGTGTACCAAATACAAGTGTGGGGAAGATTAAATTATTATTTCAATTTCGGTTTTAATAATGTCAAAATGGTTGTTTAGCCGTAAAAACCAAATCAACCAATCAATTAAAACTTCCTTTTTGCTTATATGTTCCATCTATGTTATTCCGTATAATCTCTATAACCAGAATTTTGTCACCTTAAGCAGCGGTTCAACGGTCAAATATCTGGATGACCAGTGCCTGGTAGCTGATCTCTGATCTAACTCTCACATCTCAAATGGGTAAAAACAACCTTGTGTCATTTAATAGCTCAAGAACATAGCTAGTAACGTGTCATGGCAAAGTAAATTCGCTCAAGTCCTGATGAGCGGTCATACCGTTAAACAGGTTTTTTTCTTCGGATGCCTATTAGGTCTAAAGCAGACTCCAAGCCTGAAATGAAGTGTATTCGTGCCATCACTAAAGATGTTGAAAGAATAATCAGTTCCTTGCATCACTCCAGAAAACACTTAACTCTTATTCCTCTGGAGGATCGTTCGAAGTGTCAGCGCAGGCCAAGAATGAAGTATTGCTGCTATATCTTAGCTGATGTTGCCCAGTCCTCGCTGCCCAGACATGATAGAGTACAAAAGTGATTACACGGCCTTAGGAGTGATGTATTTTTTTCCATCCTGAAACCTCTTATTATTTCATAGCTATTTCTATGGCAACTGTTCAAGCGAGTTAAACTCCTTAGTCCCACCTGCTCAGACGCGTCAGTGCAATGTTCATGGAAGCAAATCATCCTTGTTACGTTCGTGTTCCTTTGATAAGGAGTAAGTTTCACCCACATAGCTTCTTCCCCAGAAATGTTACTTTGTGGAACAAACTCCCAATGATATGATTCCCTGACCACTAAAATCCTATCCGCTTTAAGACCAGCGTCAAATGATACTTGACCTACATATCGTCATATTAATTACTTCTTAATACATCCTATCTCATGACATAAAAAAATCACTCAGTAGCCCTCTACATAGAGTGGCTCTTGGGTCTTGTATTAGGTGAACTGAAGTGAATATAAAATGCTACAAAGCAGAGGTGCCTCATTAAATTCCTTCATGCTGAAGAAATTATGCCCAT